AGCAAAACAAAGAAAGTGCAAGAAATTATTTCCGTTCTGAGTTAATGATTTGTACTGTAGGATGCATTTTTGGTGATAACTGTATAGGGCTACACGAATAAACACCATTTCGACAGGGATTTTAGGATGTCGCGATTTGAAACTATGTAGTCATAAGCTTCTTGGATGATCTCTTCTTGGACATTACTGGTATCTTATAATTGCTTTCGTTGGCTGGAAGCAAAATTCTCGACCGTTTTCTTCTTTATTGTTGTTTGCTGTTCACCTGCTTTATTAACTTTATTGAATTCTAAGATACCAGCGATGTCCAAGAAGAGATCATTTAGGAAGCTTATGACCACATAGTTTCAAATTGCGACATCCCAAAATCCCTGTCGAAATGGTGTTTATTCGTATAGCCCTATACAGTTATCACCCAAAATGCATCCTACAGTACAAATCATTAACTCAGAACGGAAATAATTTCTTGCACTTTCTTTGTTTTGCTAATTAGTAGAAAGTTAATTTCCAGCCTTTATAAATGAACCCACTTTAGATGGGGCCATGTCTAGCCGGCTTAAACCCATGTTATTTGGGCTGCGAATGTTATAGTCATGATAACCATGCTTTTTAAAATTGTTAGCAGCGTGCTATAATTTAGCGCAAGAGTAGCATACACTATTACTCAAATTCACAGCAATCTATCACTACTTGGCTTACAGTATCATGAGCACATTGATGGCATTTATGTTTTTTGCTCAATTACGATTACGTGTGCGCATGAAAATTTCTGGTTTGCTCGCCCATTTTTCTCCTTTTACTATGCTAGCAATTTACTATATATTTATCTCTACTCAATCTCTAATTTCCACCATATCAATTTCCCAATCATTCTTCTATTTTATTTATTTCATTCTCTCTGTCTTTTACTCCACTTTTATCTCTTAATATTCCGTTTTTTCGTTATTTGTCCTCCTTGATTCCTTTCCATCTATTCCTCTGGCTTTGCTCATAAAGGAGTCATGAACAACAGACCGAACAGTCAAACAAGATGCGCAGACCTTCATGGCCCGAGCAAGATATGGTGCCGCCTCACGAACTGCATATCTACCAAGCATTTTTATCGACTCCTGCTACCACAATCCGCCGTGGCACCACGAGCTACTTGGCCAAGGCGGTACTTGATCGCCTTCTACAGGGCGACTTGAATCTTGCCGGAGTCAATCGTCAGTCTTGTTCCGTGATGTAATCTAAGATGTGCTGATCCTCATGCATTCTAGTAAACTTCCACTCATCCTTATGCCATTTTTATTCTTATTTGTTGGCTTTTCATTTATGAAACGTTCAATTTAGGTAGTTTTGTCCTTAAATTATAGTATTTAAGGTATATATTATTTACTTGGGTCCGTCATGATGATTTTCTAGTGCATACAAGTCATCGTGTTTTGTCGTGTCCTGGAATGGCCTAATGCCATTTCTTACCGTAATATCTGATATATTATTGAGATCTCTTGGTATCATGTGCATCCATGATGACTATCAGGAATAACAAGAACCTGAATCATTGTGAGGAGACAGTTTATAGTGCTGTTTATATGGGTTTGAATAATGACGATGAGCGTTCCTGAAAAATTAGTGTATAATTTCCTCTGAGACATCTACTTTGCTAGTGAATCTTGATATTCTTTCATTTCTTATTTATTAATGTATTACCTATTTTTATTCCTCTCTATTTTTCATCATTTCGATGCTGCCTACCTTGTGCAATCCATCCAGATGCTTTATAATTGATCATGACGAAAAGTTCAGCATATAATTATATCCTTTTAGCTGCCACAATAAATATTGCATGTGCTGAATACGCATAAATTCTAGTCTCCCCAAATTGGGTATATAAACAATTAATTTGAGCCTTGAGAATTAATCTTTTATCCTCTCATAACTTCTCAGCCTGCTTAGCTTTGAATTTTTATCCTTTTCAGCAAACACTTGAAAGTCTTTACTGATGATTTTCTATCCGCTTCTATGAGAACTCGTGCTCATGTGATTCTTCAATATATTTGGTTGATGCAACTATAGCCTCATCAATTATTATTATTTAATGTACATTTTTCAATCAGTTTTTTAGTTTCCTGTTTAGTTGGATGTTTTGATCCTCCGATTCCACTTTATCGTTCGTTATGAAGCCTTCACTAATTTCTATAATCGTGATAGTCCGCAGATATATATCTCTGTTTTCATCTTTTTTAAATCATCGTTGCTTTCTTACTCTTTCGCATATTTCATCTCCTTTTCAAAATTTAATCTTTAATTAATCCATAATTTAATTCACCCTTCTCTTACCTCACCTTTTTTTCACCTGACGCCAATGTTTACAGCGAACCCCTTCGATCCTTTTTATATACTTTTCTTATACTTACCCAAATAAGCTACCTAATTGCTTTCAGCCCTGATAAAAAGGACTACAACTAAATAATGTTAATACCTTTAGTTCAAAATAAGTATAAGACTATACTAAAATTGTATTCTTCTTGCATGCTATTAGAAGTCTTTTATAACTCTCGCCACAAATGATTATAATGGGCATTGACACTTATCATTTTCGTTTTGAGTTACTTGTGCTATCAAACAAGACACAAAAACCCATATTCCAAGCTCCAGTCTTTCTCTTCGACTAACTGACCTGCCATTAGAGGCTCATGCATGATTGGGCGCTACGTACACGAAATCCAATCCATCTGAACGATTCCAATTATCATTTTAGGCCTAACAGAAACGGGAATATGTATATTTTATCTCTAAATAGTTGTCCTCCTGGGAACTCTAAAACTAGGTAGGCTAGTTAGGATTCTTAGTTCGAATAATTAGCAATGGGATGACGAATGTTGGGGCTGGTCCCTCTTGGCTTGATATCCCCATAAAAGAATGCCTTGATATTAAAAATAGATTATCTTTCTGCATGGCGATGC